GAGGGGAGGAGGAGGAGAGGAAGGGGAGGGAGAGGGGGAGGATCTGCTAATTACACAGAACAGCTCTGGGGGCTGCTGAAGTCCAGAATGAAGCAAAGAGCAGCAGAAGCGAGTGCTGCAGTCGGAGCAGAGGAGCCCAGGCATCACCAGGAGCTGGAGCCAGCCGTTGTCCCCACTGGGAGCAACTGGGGGCACCCAGGGGACCCTGCAGCCCTGTCTCCCCCGGGGCACAGCCTCTGGCACAGCCACCAAGCGCACTGCCAGCTCTTCCGCAGCCAGCCTTTGGCAAGGAAGGGGGAAAGGGCTGGTGGTCCTGGGGACGCAGGGTTAAACTCAGCTCTCCTGCGGGCTGGAAGCAATGGAGCCAACCCTGCCATGATCCCAGGGGGCTAGGAGACCGAGCGGAAAGAAGTGAAGGATGGCTGCTGAAGGAGAGAAAGCCAAGCCCGTCACCCCGTCCAGGATGGAAAACTTCCGAAAGGTGAGGACGTCAGAGGAGGAAAGCCCATTGCCCTTCCCCAACCTGCCCCCAGACGTGGTGGAGATGAAAGTGAAGGAGGGCAGCAAGATCAGGAACCTGATGAACTTTGCTATGGCCCAGATGGAGCTGAAGGGCAGCCGGCAGATCGTCTTCAGTGGCAGCGGCAGAGCGGTCACCAAGACCATCACCTGCGTGGAGATCATGAAGCGGAAGCTGGGAGGTCTTCACCAGGTCACCAAGGTACGCTACAAAACCTTGCTGGAGGTCTGGGAGAACCAGGACCCGCTGCCCGGTGGCCCAGCACAAACTGCATCCTGCTCTCCCGAGACCCTCTGGATCCCAACCAGACAGGCTACCAGCCCCCGGAGCCCCGGCATGGGCAAGAGATGCAGCTCGGTGAGGCAGGAGAAGACATGTCAGGCTCCTCTGTCAAGGGGCTGAAGCGGCCCCTGCCACCCCCCCGTGAGGAGCTGCAGACCAAGAAGTTGCAGGTACAGGTACCCGAAAGCCCAACGGGCTCGGGGACCACCGACCACCAGCTGGCCCACCACCACTGACCCCACCACCTCCCACCCCAACCAGCCGTACACCGGGCGTAGAGGCAGGCGATTGTATGCTGGAGAAACTCCGGGGGGAGGAGGGGTGTAGCTGCTTTGCTGTGAATAAAGGCAGTGCGAAGCCTGTGTCCTGCTTGCTGTGGGGTCACTGGGGGGCTGCAGGCTCCCCCCAACACGTCTCCACTCACTGCTGCTGCTCCAGCTGTACCCTTACGTGTGGGCTTGCTGCTGGGCGTACCTAGTGCCCAGATTTGGGGTGAGGGTTAAAGGGTTAAACCTGCCAGCCTTTGGTTTTGGACTGAAGCAGGGGGGATGTCTGGGGAAGGGGGTTGGAGGTGCTGCTAGCCCTGAATTTGGTCCCGCAGGGGCAATGCCACCACCAGCCACATTTCTGCAGAGCCAGAGCACCCGTTGGTTGCCTTTCGCTGAAGGGTGCCCGGAGAGGGGAAGGTGGCTCCGCATTGTCGCTCCCCACCGAGATGCCTCAGCCATCAGGAGAGATGGTTTTTGCGCCCAAGCCCGTTGGAGTAATACCTTCATTATCGAAACTGCTGCCGTTACACCCGGCAAGGAGCTGTCAGGGTTATTAATGCCGGGCTCAGCGCCCCGCGGCGCCGTGATTCATCCCCAATAAAACACACAAACCAGCAGACGGGTCTCTCCCTCCCCGCAGAGCCGAGTGCTGCGCTGCCTACCTGCGGGACAGCAGAAGAAAATAAAACCATCCTTCTTCTTCCAGAATCAAATATTCTACTCTTCGCTCACCTGGAGATCTCTGTTAGGGTCTGGAGCTGAGCTGAAGCCCTGATGTAGGGAGCTGGGGCCAGGGGGAGCATTAGGTGGGTTCTTGCTGTGGCTGGATGTGGTGCTCAGCGCAGGATGGGGAGGTTTTGGGGTCATGGGCTTGGCTGCAAAGCCCTCACCATGGGCTGGCTCCCTGGGAAAGCCCTTTAGAGTAAAATCTCTGCTTCTTTCAGGGGGTAAAGGGAAATGAATAGGGAGGAAAAAAAAAAAAAAAGGCAAGCAAGCAGCTCTTTAGAAATAGTTGAAATATGTCTATGGGGAAACGAGGGGTGATCATCTTGGCTGCCAGCTATGGCACAGTGAGGGCTGGTGCTGATCCAGGACAAGGAGATCCCAGCCAAACCCCATCCCTTGGCAGAAGGGGACACAGGTCTTTGACGCTCCACGGCAGAGCCTGGCAAAGCCCCACAGCGCGGACTGGGGAGGGCAGGAGGTGGGCTATGGGAGGCCAGGCAAACCCCGACCCACCTGGTTGTCCCTGACCCAGCCCCCAGGGGCACCGAGGGACAAACTCTTAATGCGTGTACCCTTCCCAAAAAGCCAGCCGGGAGGGACGCTCCAGCTGCAGCCGCGCTATTCACACGCCTTGCTCCCGCTCTCCGGGGGTGGCGAGCATCCCCGCTTTTGTCTGGGGCTTTGCTCAGCTGGGAGCGGGAATGAAAGGAGACCAGGGGAGTGAGGAGGAGGAGGAGGAGGAAGGGATCTGTAAAAAGATGCCCTTGTTTCCCCCCTCAGCAGCAAGCTGCTCCGCCGGGCCAGAGGCTTGTGCTTATCTGTCCCGCCACAGATTGATTCACAGCATTCATCTGCTTGCTCTGTAGCTGAATATTAATTTTCAATTGTTATTCTTTTACTATTATTTATTGTGGGTTCAAGCCTGGGAAAGCTTTGGGCTTCGTCTCCCAGCGATCGCCCTTCCCAGCCTCCTCTCTCCAGCGCGTGCAGACACCATCCAACCCTCTGCCCCACACGCGAGCTGGAGCACTGGGTATGTTAATTATTATTAAAGATCATGCTAATGAATAAAAGCCTCTGTATGAGCTGTGGTCAGAGCCCAGAGACTGCCACCGCCCT